TTTGCAACAAGTGAAGGCAATGAAGAGGCAGTTGGTCAGCGTAGTGATTGAACCAAGGAGGGTATTGAAAGACATAGAAGCAAAATCGGAGTACTTGAAGAGGGAGAAGTGGGAGATGATTAGGATATTAATGAAAATGGTGAGGGTATTGAAGGGAATGGAAGTGAACTGGATCAGGTGAATGCATAGAAGGAGGAGAAGAGCATATTGATGGAATTGAAGATGGGTGTTGGATTTACGAGCTTATTAAAACTGCCCCGAGGAAGATGAGTTGGCCAAACACAAGAAAGAGGATTGAGGAGCTGGAGATCAAGCTGACAAGAAACTCAATTGAAAGAGAAATTCAGGTCATGGAGAGAAGGTCCATCAAAGTAGCATAAATGGAGTTGCAGAAGGAGGATTAGAAATTTAATTTTGTTTTAAAACATATACATCGAGAGATTGAAGATGGAGGGGATAAAAAGTTGGTTGTACAACGGAGAGTGGAAACTATTGGATCTTTAGGTGTTATGATTGTTGCAACTACCACAACCTATGTTTATGTTAAAACGAGGAATCATTGATTGAATTACTAAAGTTAAGGTTGATTCACTATTTAAACTACTGGAACCTGTAGATAATGAGTGTCTAATTTTGTGCCTCACTACTTTGATCGAGTCTATTAGTATATTGGATGTAACTCTAATTTTGTCATTTGCTCTCAAGTTTTGATGGTTTCTTTTTAGTTGAGTTGTTAGCATATGATTGACTTGAATCAACAACTCTTCATTTCTGTTTTTTTTTTTTATATAAAAATCCATTTCTTTTTTATTAGTGGCATGTTATTCATAGAGGAGAGTTTTAAACCATTTATGTGGGATTGTAAGATTTCATTTCAGTTTCAAACTATCTATGGATCGTGTGGGAATTCCAATGAGCTTTTATATAATATATTTCTGGACAATCTATTAACCAATATCATTTTAATGGGGGCTCAATTATCATTATGAAAATGAGATTAATGATATATTTTTATATTCTTAAATGAGGAGGGTATTTCCCTGAATGTTCGACCTATATATTCATTCTTTATGTAGCATCTCGATTGAATGATTTTCAATAAAATTAAACGAATTAATAGACTTAAACATAACATAAAAATATAAATATGAACATATGAAAATTCCGGCCAACAGGCCGGGTTATAAGCTAGTATTCTAGTATTATAATACACCAAAGGGAAAAACGAGAGCCCCATTTCAAATTTCCTGCAACAAGAGTGAAAGTAGGAAGGACATTTTAGTCTTCAAAATTACTTTTTTTTTATTCATTTAAAAGACACGTACTGGGATTCAAACCATGACCATTTTAAAGAAAAACAAGGATCATAACCAATCACACTAAGTACATTTGTTGTATCTTTTCAAATTAAAAATATATAATAGCAGGGAGCAAAAACTCTTCCCCATTTCAAATTCCCTGCTCCAGGAGCGTTTGTAGGAAGGGTAGAATAGGGAGTGTCAATTTTTTTCTCTTTCCTCTGTGGAACTGGCCAACTTACCGTACACATGCGGATTTAAACGGGTCCAGGAGGGTCAATTTTTTTCTTTAAGCTCTTTTATTTCTCCGTGGTGATAAAATATATATGAAAATGCAAAAACAATACTCCTTTTTATTGCTAAAAATAAAAAAAAATTAACATTAAACTAATGCATGGTATCTAATGGGCTAACCGCTAACCATAAAATAAAAGAGTTGAATAGGCCTGACCTACACGAGATTTGGCCATCAAGTAAAACAAATGAACATCATTGGTTTGTCATTCTAAAAGCGTTTGTAGGAAGGGTAGAATAGGGAGTGTCAAATTTTTTTCTCTTTCCTCTGTGGAACGGGCCAACTTACCGTACACATGCGGATTTAAACGGGTCCAGGAGTGTCAATTTTTTTCTTTAACCTCTTTTATTTCTCCGTGGTGATAAAATATATATGAAAAGGCAAAAACAATGCTCCTTTTTATTGCTAAAAATAAAAAATTTAACAATAAACTAATGCATGGTATCTAATGGGCTAACCGCTAACCATAAAATAAAAGAGTTGAATGGGTCTGACCTACATGGGATTTGGGCATCAAGTAAAACAAATGAACATCATTGGTTTGTCATTCTAAAACAAGCTATTTTCTCTGGCATAATATATATTATGCTATTATTTTATATCTTAATGGCTAAAATATAATGTATTTTAAAGTTATTCAATGGTTCAACCTCGACCAACCCAATTAGTTCAATTTTTATCATTTCAAATATATATTATATAATTATTTGATATCATAATGATCAAATTATAGTGTATTTTACAGGGAATCGTCTGGTATTTGTTAGTAAAAAACTAAACAGAAAGATCTATTTGGTTATTTTAAACATTAAAACGATCCTAAAAATTTTCAATTCCTTTTGAATTTCTATGGTTTTATTCTCGAATAAGTGATGTGCAAATGGAGAATTGCAGTCATCTCTTTTTTTCAATATTTTTTATTTTCAAATAGAAAGTTTAAAAATAAAGAATAATTAGAATTTGGCATGGGTCGGTCAAACAGGCTGAATTTCAAGTTTTGGCCCGTTTTGATCAAGTCTAATTTATAATCACATGGTTCCTTGATACTCGATAAAAATCTCAATCCAAACTAGTTTGGCAGGTGAGTCCGTGTTTACCACCATTTTCTAGGGATACGACAACGACGGTTCCTATCCCAAATCGTGTTGCTCGTTCTTGATTTTCTTAGATTTTATAATGGCCTGACAAAAACCAGAAAGCACAATGACGACAAGATGAAAGTTTTATAAAGCAAATTAATCGGCCAACGGGCCGAGTAAAAGCTAGCAACAATTGTGAGATGCTCATCGAGAAATTTTACAATGCTATATAGTATTGGTGCTATAGGTTTTTGCCTTTATGGTACAACTTAAAATTGTACATTTACGTTATGGTACAACTTTAGATTGTACCTATACTTTTTGCACACATTCTTTTATGGTACAACTTGAACTTGTACATTTATGTGATGGTACAACTTCAAGTTGTAAAGTTGTACCATAACATAATGGTACAAATTGCTTTATGGTACAACCTAAACTTATACATTTAATGTTATGGTACAACTTTGAGTTGTACATTAAAGCACCAATACTATATAGCATAGTAGAAGTGCTCGATGCTCATCTCCTGAAAACCGACGAGATATGCGATTTTTTATTCGATTTTCTGGAATTTGGTTGCTATAAAACATACTCCACCTCATCATATTACCAGAAACAATATTGTTTCACAAGGTGACAGGTACTTGATTTTGGTTCATAAGGCCGATTTTTGATTCGTTGCATCATTCATGTCTCTTTCCTGCTAAAATTCATTATTTTTATCACGTGTTTCCCAAAAAAACTATACAACAATAAACTATACACCCCATTACATTATCAATTTTCACAATTCACTTTCCTCCGACCAACTGGCCGGGGCCACGCTAGTTGTTTCAATTAACCGACTTAATAGAGCTCCACAATAACCCTCATTTCAACGGCTTACTGTAGTGGTGGTAATGCATCAATTGGCCGAGCTAAGGGTTGGCTACTTGAACCAATTGTGTCTCGTTTCGGTTTTGGTTTGATTTGATACATTGTGTCGAGAAACTAAATCAAACAACCATTAATTTCAGGTTGAACTCATATCCAAAAGTTGGGGTGTTTTCATCTCAAAATTGGGGGGTGGGGGGACTGCTATTCCATGGATGTTGCTCAACCTCATTTTGCCCTCTTCAACCTTACTTTGAGCCTTGAGGGCAGTGAAATAACTAGGGAATAGTGGTGTTCAATTTTGGAGTGGAAAAAAGATTCATTAAAAGACGAAACGTGTTTTCATCTTTTTTTTTTTTTTTGGGACAGTGCTATTTTATGGATGTTGCTCAACCTCACTTTGCTCTCTTCAATCCCATCCACATATCTTTCAACAACAAGCCCTCAAGAACTCATTGTCCCCTCACCATCACGCCTTCTTTCGATGAACCTATTTTCGCCAGGAAGCTCAGAGTTGTCGTCTTCGGTGGAGGCCCGATACCATGCATTGGTTGGAGCCACATAAACTTATGATAAATGACCCTAAAGTTTAAGGGTTTTTTTAAAACCCTAAAGTTTAAGGGTTTTTCTTTTTAAAAAAAACTCTTAATGAATTGCAAATCATAAACTATACTTTTTATATATCAATATCATTAGTTTAGTACAACCACAAACCTCAATAGTTATGGCCAATGGATAGTGGTCTAAATGTAATTTTCTGAACACATTTGCAAAAAAAAAAATTGAGATACTAAATTGTAAGAATTAATAGATTTGGGACCCAAATGTAATTTTCAAAAAATTAGCGTGTTGATTTCAGCCAACCCACTGACCAAACTTGCCCTTACCCATGAAGAAAAATAGGATCGGGAGACACAAATCAGTTATCTAAATTGACCCTTTAGGATCATACCAATTTCAACCCTAAGAAGTCTTAAATCAAGGAACCTAAGTCGTTTGTAATTAAGGAACCTCCAAACCACAGTAAAATGACGATCTAGGCATTGAGCGCACAGTGAAGCACAACTTGTGGTTTAGACTGGACTTGCCGATTTCGATGAATTCAAATGCACAAATTTGGAGTTACAGGAGGACGAGAAAATGGCAAAAAAAAATAGATAAAGTAGATTTAGCATTGTAAAGGGAATGATGTTTGCTCTATAATGATCCACCAAAGATGCTCTCCCCTCTCTCCTCTCTCCTCAACCAACAGGGGTTTTTTTCTATCCTTCTTCAGCTTCCGGCAACGGAGCACTCAGAGTTCAGAACCGTCACTCAGACACCAAATCTCGCATTAAAAGCAATAAGATCAGCAGGGAAGACCATGAAGAGGATATGCACAATGAGGATGAACCCAGATCGATAGATGGAGCAGACCTATGGATACGCAGTAATGAGCTGACCTTATAGTGGATGTCAATACCACCGCCCCCTAAGCCACCTGAAGTAAAGGAAGTTCTCCAACCGAAGGGAGGAACAGTTAAAGAAGGGAACAGGGGAGCTATTAGAGTAAAAGCAGTATCGGGAAGAGGGAGGAGTTATGAAGGTCAGCAGAAGACAAGGATCAAGAAAGATATGGCGTACACGCGCAACAAACGGATCCATGCCATAAATAGGGGAATAATCACCAGAGACACCAAGAACATTAAAGGCAGTCAGAAGAGCAACCTCGAGGGACAAGCTAAAGGGATCGGAAATGGAGCCAATAGAGCAAACCATAAAAGCCAGAGGACTGACGCAACCCTAATGCTAAGGAACTCACAGAAGCTACATCGAGCCACTAAAGTGAAGGAGTACAGGGCACTTAAATGGCAAGTAAGAGGAAAGGAATGGAAGAACCAAGATTTAAAGCCAGGCAGCCAACCAACTCATTCATTGCACATAATCTTAAATAGCATACCAGATACAGGGGGAGACCACAGAGGGAGAAGCAGGCCTATATAAGCACCCAGGCACTGAAGGCAACAAATCACAACCAATCTTCCTACCATAAACGAATGAGCTATCAGTCCACCACAAGCAAAGAAGCCCCTATTACCAGAGAAACCCTCTACCCCCCCCCCCCCCCCCATCCGCAAATATCAATGGAACCCATTGGCCAGAACCTGAGAGGAGAAACGAGCCATCTAGTGCTCAACGTCCGACCCACAGTTACAGGGGTTAGGGGAAGTGGTATAGCCATGCTACTGTGCAAATGGGTCACTGACGCCAACATCAACATCCAGAAGGCTAAGAACACAGCAGCCAGCAAATGGAGGGCTTATGGAGAAATTCAGGCCACAAAGGAAATGGACAACCTCTTCGTCTACTCGTTCCAATCCGAGAAACAAAGAGATGCAGACTATGAGGCTCGTCCTTGGAACCTGGGGAACACGCTGATCGCATTAAAAAAATGGGATGGAGAACAGAAGGCTGAGGAGACTGATATCCAAACGGTCACTCTCTGGGTGCAGATGCACGACCTACCCCAATCACTCAAGGATGAGGAATCCATTCAGGCGGTGGCACAATTCATCTTCCCATACTACTATGGGATAGACCAGTCCAGCTTTGACTTCCGTGGCTGGCTCAAATTCATCAGGGCAAAAGTCGAAGTGGAGCTAGACAAACCAATACCGATCGGCTTCGAATACCCCCTGGGAGAGCGATCTATTTGGGTGAGCTTCAAGTACGAGAGGATCATGGATCTCTGCTATTTCTGTGGGAAGCTTGGACACCTGATCCACAACTGCTTGGAGAGAGAAGAGTGTCGCAGGAAAGGATTGAGTACCGAACCATCGGAAGTGTATACAGCAGCTCTGAAGGCAGGGCACGACTCGTCGGCCAACACGCCGCCGGCTTCATTCAGAGAGAAACAAGCAAGAGAGAGACGAAGGGGCATGGCTGAACCTAGGGCCCACCGCCTGAGAGAATCATCAGGAGGATCAGCTCTGATGTCAACGATGGGGCGCACAGACCAGGGAGCATCGTCCTGCCCACCAGGATTCGCAGCTCTGGAGAATGAAGCAGCGGCAGCGATAAGGAGTACGGAGTGGATCCAACGGGGAGAAGTGAGGAACCCCACTCTGACTCTGCAGACTGGGTATATGGAAAAGGAAATGGAAGCTGCCACCATAGCGATGCAGAGAAGTCTAGACCTAACTGGAGGGCAGACATCAAGAAGCAAACAAGCAGGCCTTCTCGAGATGGGCCAGATGTTGTCCCTAGCAAGCCCATTCTACTCTCAACCCCATCGAGTCCAGGACCAGAGTGAAGAGATACTACTACCAGGCCAGACCAAGCAAAGTCTTCAAAGCCCAATCCTGGTCCTTCAAGACCCTACAGCCCAAACGGTGGAGGAATTTCGACCCAGACCGGAGAAGAAAAGAAAACCGGAACGGGAGTCGCCCACCTACTCCCTCCCACTGATGGGAACACCAACTAACATTTCCATTCAATCTCTGTCTTTCTCTCCAGGTGGAAAAAACAAGACATACCAGAGGAGGAGAAGTATTATCAGAAGAAGGAGCATAGCAGCGATTAATGCCGATGGAGAACACTCTGGAGAAGGAGAGTCAACGACACCAAAGGAAGCGGCGGCGAGCCTCAAGCCGCCTCTCCAAGAATGAGAATAATAAGTTGGAATTGTAGGGGGTTTGGCCAGCCCCTTACAAGGAGCTACTGCGGCAGATTTTATCAGAAATATGGCCCTTCAATGGTGTTCTTGATGGAAACAAAGAAGGATGAATCGTTTCTCGAAGACCAAAAGTGATCATTGAAGTTTGACCACTCGGATTATGTTAGCTCGGTCGTTGAAGGCAGCGGTTTGGCACTTTGGTGGAAGGATGACATTGATGTTTGTGTTTTAGATTCCTGTAAATCCATTATGGATGTTCGAGTGTGTAAGGAAGGGGTTAGTTTTTTTTTTGCACTTTCATCCATGCTCCTACCACGGCGGTAGAGAGACGGGCTCTTTGGGAAAGACTTACTGCCCTTAGAGAGACCCAGGATGACAAGTGGTTGCTTGTTGGTGATTTTAATGTTGCTCTGTACCCGTCAGAGAAAGAGGGGAGATGCCCTCTCAGAAATGAAAATGTCAACCCTTTCAAGTACTTCATCGAGCAAAATGCCCTCATTGATCTTGGTTTCTCTGGACATCCACTCACCTGGACCAACAAACAGCAAGGAGACAGGCTTATCAGAGAACGATTGGACCGAGGTATCTGCTCTCCTGCCTGGAGTATGGAATTTGATGTTGTGGCGGTCTTCCATGAAGAGTTCATTGAGTCTGATCATTGTCCTATTAGGATTGATCTTAATCCCAAAAATAGAAGGAGCAACATCCCCTTCAGGTTCGATAAGAGATGGAAAAATAAAGAGGCATGTGAAGAAATTGTTATGAACAGTTGGAGTACAGGGGAGACAGTGCACAGAGTCCTCATTGACTGCAAAGACAAACTGTCTTCCTGGGCAAAAATGGAAAGAACCTCGAAGTACCAAAGAGAGAATGCTATTAAGAAGAGGCTGCAACAGTTGCAAGGACCCCATCGAACCCCAATGATGAAAATGGAAGAGGATAATCTACAACTTGAACTTCAAATGTTATGGACTGAGGAGGAAGAGTTCTGGGCGCAGAGATCCAGGAATTCTTGGCTTCAGGAAGGGGACCAGAATACGGGATTTTTCCATGCTAGCACAATCAAAAGGGAAAATGCTAATAGAATTAGCAAGCTGAAGACAGAGCAGAATGTCTGGATTGATGACAAGCAAGAGGTGGAAGAACATATCAACTCCTTTTATCGGGGCCTGTTCACTTCCCGAGGAGGTACGTTCGACCGATCTATTCTCAATGGATTCCCACAGATGGTCACGGATGATGTCAACTGTATGCTTTCCGCACCGATCACTAATGATGAGATCCGGAAGGCAGTGTTTCAGCTTGGCACGAACAAAGCCCCAGGACCTGATGGTTTCCCAGGTTTCTTCTTCCGCAAGTTCTGGAACTCTATAGGTGACCGGTTTTGCGAGGAAACTAGGGAGTTTTTCAGGACCAACGTGCTGCCCAAAGGTTGGAATTACACCTTTATCACCCTCATCCCAAATATCGACAATCCGGAAAAGATCGGACAGTATAGACCCATCAGCTGCTGCAACTTCAGATACAAAGTGATCACGAAGATCCTAACAATCAGACTCCATCCTTTCCTCCCTAATCTCATTAATGACCTGCAGGCTGCCTTTACAGGAGGGAGACTGATTCAAGACAACATTATCATAGTGCACGAAGTGCTGAATCATTTCAAGAAGCACAAGACAGGAAACCGAAAGGACATGATGCTGAAGTTAGACATGAAGAAAGCGTACGATCTGGTTGAATGGGAGTTCCTTATCGAGCTTCTTCGGGCATATGGTTTCAATGAAGTGTGGTGTGGCTGGGTCAAAGCGTGCATTAGCTCCGTCCATTTTCAGATCCTGGTTAATGGGGAGCCTTCCTCTGCTTTCTTTCCTTCACGAGGGATTCGGCAAGGAGACCCAGTGTCGCCCCTCTTGTTCATTTTAATGTCCAATGAACTTTCTTTCCTGATTGAGAAAGCGGCTGCTAGTAAGGCCATTCGAGGATTGAAGCTCAACCGAAACTGCCCAAACCTCACTCATTGCCTCTTTGCAGATGACACGGTGATTTTTGGAGAAGCATCAGTTGCGGAAGCGGATAGCATTCTGGATATTATTCAAAGATACAGGGCAATCACAGGACAAGAAGTGAACAAGGAAAAGTCGTCTACTTTCTTCAGCAGCAACGTGAGCCCGGAGGAACAAGGATTTATCACATCCAGCATTGGGTTTTCTGACACGAACTGCCACTCCAAATACCTTGGAGTACCCACTGAATGGGGAAGATCGAAGACCGAAACCTTTAGATTTCTCATTCAATGGATGGAGGGGAAGAGTGAGTCTTGGACGAGCTTACTCCTGTCACCTGGAGGGAAGGAAACGCTGCTAAAGGCAGTATTCCAAACTTTGCCCTCTTACATTATGTGCCTCTTCATGCTCCCCAAAAGGTCGACGAACAAAATGGACTCGATGCTCAGGAGATTCTTCTGGGGAGGATCCACTCACAAGAAGACCATTCATTGGAAAGATAGCAAAGTACTCTACGCTCCTAAAGTAGAGGGAGGACTCGGCTTCAGACCATTTCATGAGTTTAACCTGGCGCTGCTGGCTAAACAATGCTGGAGGATACTTACCAACCCAAACGCCATATGGGTCAAACTCCTCAAAGGACTCTACTTTCACTCGACGGGCTTCATCTTGGCAAAAAAAGGTGGAAAAGCTTCTTGGATCTGGTCCAGTATTTGGGAAGCGAAAGCATGGATGGAGCAAGGGTTGATCCGGGTCATTGGGAATGGGAAATCAACTAGGGCCTTCCATGATCCATGGTTGTTTGAGCGCCCTGGCCCTCTTCTTCAGAATCGATCTTCATTCCCGGGCACAGTTGACGTGTGGATCGATGAGGTCAACAGAGTCTGGAGGTTTGACTTGTTGGGTGAGTTCCTCCCGCCACAAGTTCTACATCAAATTGCTGGCACTCCGATTGGTCCAGATTCCCTTGAAGATTACTGTGCCTGGCGTTTCACTGAAAAGGGCTGCTTCACCGTCAAGTCTGCTTTTCACTGCTTCCACAACAGGAACCGACACGCCCAAGGTTCCCCCCAGTCAACAATGGCACCAAATAAAGATGCTTGGAAATGGCTCTGGAGCCTTTCACTCCCCCCCCCCCCCCCCCCATGAAGTTCTTCTTGTGGAGATGTTGCAGAGGGGCACTTGCTACTAAAGAGAATCTTCACTCAAGACGATGCTCTCCTTCTATGGTGTGTCCGTTGTGTTCTGCGCCAGTGGAGACTATCTTTCACTGCCTTTTTGAGTGCCCCCATGCAGCGGAAGGGTGGAGAGCTGAATGGCCATCTCTACCGATGCCCGCGCAGACTACTGAAATCCTTCTTTGGATTTTCACCCTTGGGCAAAGATACCCACCCCAGTATATCCAAAAAATCATCTACCTCCTCTGGCATACTTGGAAGGCAAGGAACGAATGTATCTTCAAGTACAAAGCACTATGGCCCCCAGCTACTGTTGCAAGTGCACAAAGAAGCTTCCACCAATGGAGCATTTGTCCTTTGAAAAGATCACTCAATCCTCTTCCTTCTCAGGCTTTTCCACCCCCGGAGCCCTCTTCACCACCACCAAGTACTCATGACTTTGAGATACACTGTGATGGATCGTTCCTACACGATTCCCAGGAGGCGGCTTATGGCGTAGTTGTTACTAATGGCCATGGTCAAGTGTGTGATGGGAAGGCTGAGATCCTGCATTGCTATTCATCACTAGAGGCAGAAGCAAAGGCCCTGCTGGAAGGGACTCGTTTGGCGGTCTCCCTTGGAGTTCCATGCCTGGTCAGGTCTGATTGTCTTGATCTGGTCAAGGCAATAGGTGGATTTGCTGATGGTTGCCCTTGGAGAGCGGCTTCTTGGATCGGCTTAATCAAACAAATGTGTGTTTGGAATCCGGGGATCCGTATCGAGTTTTTTAGCAGGAAGTTTAACATCAAAGCCGACTGGGTTGCCAGGTCCTGTGTTAGGAACCAGCTTCCCCCTGATTGGATTCACATTCTTGATGTTATTGCACCACTGTTGTAACCCTTGCTTTTGCCACTAGTAATGAAAAGTACATGTCCTACTGTAAAAAAAAAAAAAAAAAAAGCAAATTTGCTGCAGCTCAAAAACTCGAAAGGCTGCCTGCTGAATGCTGACAATATTCTCATCCAAAATGAATAAGCATTGGCCAAGGAGCAACAATCTAGAGTTGTTTTCTGGTTCAAGCAAACAGATTACATTCTAAAGAACTCCAAAGAAGGGATTGTTTATGGCGGAGTTCAACTCTGAACCTGCTGAGTTCAGCACAGACACGTCAACCTTCCCCCTGGGCAGGAAAAGGAACTCACCAGCTTCGATTTTCTCAAACCCGCATAACTCCAAGAACTGGACCCCTCCTTGCAGGGAACCAACTCTATCCTGTTTTGATGCATTTAACAATCAATCAGTACTGGGCCACGGAAATAAGCAGAGCAATAGTAATTTGAAAGCACACTATGTTGGCGTGATATATAGGATATTACCCGACTGTTCCAATTGATTCATCAATGGAATGATTGATAGAAATATTTTACTTGACACCCGGAATAAGGATCAGAGTTAACATCTGCAATTAACATATGAAATGAGAAGACATTCCATACCTGGAAGGTTTGGTTACTGAGTCTAATTTTTCTGAACTTCTCCTCACTTGGCGTTTTAGCTACATTTCCAATGCAAGTTAAGAGAGTTTGGAAAGCTCTCTTCACTTTAGCATCATCATCCTACAGAAACCAACAAGTGAAGTTAAAGACAACGTACTACATGGATCCGTAGCTTTCCACCTGGTGCATCACTTTTAGAGACAATGATATTCAAACTGCAAGCAGAACTATAGCTACAATCAGCCTAGCAAAGACATACATCTGCCCACTAACGAAGTTGCTAAACTACAATTTTGCAGGAGACCTATTCCTTGAATCGATGGAATTTCCAAGATATGCACATTAAAAAATGTGTAGCATGATGTTATTTTACCTTGTGAGCTTGCTTAAGGGATCTCAGACATTCCCTCATTTGTTCTGCTTTTGTGGCTGGCCGGATAGGCAATGAGCTCTGCAAATATTTGTCAAGTCAAAATATAGAAAATCATCTACAAAAGCACAAAAAGAAAACCAGGGTATTCCTCGTACTTTTTTTTCTTCAACAGGCACTGGAGGGGCTACTGGTTTTGCAGTAGCAGGATCTTCCGGGGGCAAACCAAGCTTCCTTCTTCTTTCAGCCTGTGTATGAAAAACAATTAACATGACAAAGTAAGAATGAAGCTGCACACAGCCTAGTTACTTTACCTTACCAATCAAGATGACAAATAATAATAAAATTAAAATCAGTCAAGCAAAGGGGAATCTCCAGAAAAGCAGTAACCTTGTCTTCCTCCAGCTTCTGACGAATCTTTTCCCTGGCTCGCCTCTCTTCTTCTTTCTCAGCCTTCCGCAGGGCCATAATACTGAAAAAGAGGGAAATATTTTAACATGGATAGGGCAAGAAGGAGCACTAAGTATTAAATTAACAGAACAATGAATGGACCGGAAACAAAATACTACAAGCTACCGTTTTCTTTCATTGTCTTCTTCAATTCGTTTGGCCTCCAGTAGCTCCTTGCCAACTCGAATCCTCTCCTAAGAAAGACAATTTACGACCATTATGTACATATAGGACAGGTTAACTATGTTTAGATATAGGATAAAACATAATGCATCCCCAGCAGATTCTGATATATAATATTCAATGATAAGTTCTCCTTCTAGGACACAACTGTGGACCATGTAGTTGAAGAAACATCGTTTTAGCAAATTAAGAAAAGGAGAAAAATTCTCAAATGACAGAAAATAACCTTTGTATTTTACGATTTCATGCAAGTGCGAGAAAATTCACCTACATGCAATGGCTTAAGTAGAAGAGGAAAAGCCATATGTACTTTTAATCAAGTATCAAATTACCCATGCAGCAGTCCCCAATTGCATGGATGAATTACAAATGAATGTTGAAAGCAGGAAACTAGTACATTATAAAGTTGAGCACAGCTAACATTAAAAAGCCATTCTGAAAAAACAAAATTAAGCATTCATGAAATAAATTGTGCTTGCTAGATAGCTCAAATAATGGATATGCACAAAAATAAACAAACTGCTGAAATAAGAAATTCAAACAGACAGAAGAGATGATTCTTAGGACAATCCAGCGATACCTTTTCTCTTTCTCTTTCCATTCTCCTTTCTTCCTCCTCTTTCTTCTTACGGGCACGCTCCCTTAGGATTGTGGAGAAGAAACATATATAAACCATGAGAAGTGATTCAATCAGAAAGGAAAAATGACCACATAAATGAAGGACTGAGTTTGACAAGATATTGCCACAAAGGTCGTGAGTTCATCCTCACAAAATCTTACCTCAGTTCTGCTGCTTTTTGTTTCACTTCTTCTGGTGTAAGAGCAGCCTTTGGAGCCTCAACCTTGGTGTTGGCTGGCACCTGAGGACAAAGGGGGAAAGACAATTCAATAAGAATACGGAAAGTTGGTGTCTGGGTTATGACACAATGCTATGACAGCATGTGAGAGACAAATCCGAAGAGAAGAGCAGGCATGAAACAATAGTGAACGAACAACATATTTTATTATGAAAGATAGACAACAGTTTCCTACCAGGGGCATTTCATCTACATCCAGGTCTTTCTCATGCTCAACTACCCAATTCACAGCAGCCTCAAGACTGGTATTACCTGAAGACAACATCGTCATAACATTTTAGTAATCACAAGCTAGCCAGGATTTAACTTCATTAAAGTAAATATAACTAATGTATCAATGCTTTTAAAGGAAAATAGCATTGCTGAAAAACTAGACAACCATGTGTCCTTGTCAATAGGACCCAAGAAAGAACACTCAAGTGTCCCAAGGACAAACCAAAACCTATCATGTCCAATCCTCCAAAACAACAATCCAAGTAGATATGTGAACCTATTTTCCCCCCACTGTCTATAGATAACCTGGATTTCATGATTTGGGAGCCTACATTCTACTGAATGACACTGTTCTCATGGCAGTTTATTTAATTTTCTGGTGAAAGGCTCAGACATCTTCAGTAATACATATTTCATAGTAACAGAATTGAGAATACATACAAGAAGTTAGAGAAGTCTAGTAAGAACTATAGGTAATATTCCCTTCTCAGCATCACCAAACAAAATGCATGTCCGGTAACACAATGAAATGGAAATATGCCTTGCAATGTCCTCACCAGAAAAATGAAGTGCCCTGGTGGCCCGTGCCTTTGGGAAACCCATTCCTTCCAGTTCTGCAAGCAGCTTTGCGTCAACTTTTGGAGCAACCATTTCTTCACAACAAAGTTCAATTAAAAGAAGTATGATTAGAAGACGCTGTACAGGAATTACACTCCCATGCGAACATAACAAGTTTGTAATGTGTTATTAAGTTTGTCTTTACTGGTTTTTTGACCAATCCAGTGACAGAATATATAGATAAATTAAAGCCAACCAATTCAAAGGCCAAAACGAAGGACCAGCTAAATGCAAACACTGATTTACCAAAACGAGAAATGCAACTTCCAAATGCCTTTCACAATATAGTGCCTACGAAATATCTGTACCACAAGCGTAAAGAAGAGGAGGACGAAAAGGAAATACAAACAGCACTACCTTCAGGCTGACCGCTACTGCTAGTAGGCTCATCCACATCCATTGCAGCCTTTGGTGCTTCTAAACTTATAGGCTTTGTAGCCTCCTCTGTCTTATCCACAAACTCTGTATGACCAGTTCTCTTTGTGTGCAAATCCGTTTCCTTCAAGGGTGAAAAAGAAACAGGATCAGCTTATCAATCATACAACAACACAATTCCATTCCACTCGGAGAAAAATCTGCTAAAACTAAACACCAGTCCAGTACAAGTCAATGGAAGTTCAAGGTCCTGAAATTCAGTTCTTTTTTTGGTAGAAATGAAATTCAGTGCTAAACAAACTGCTCTCCCCCAACAATCACAGTGATATTTATACTTAACAGTTAACACTAATATGGCCAAGGGAGGCTAAACCTTTAGAGTTTTTCCAGAAAAGCTAAACTTTTCCATCCAGAATATCAACATTCTAAGAACCAGAGATCGATTTCCAGAATTGAGATTAACCCACAGATCTTTTTTCACAAGAACTACACGTTGCAGTCTCGCCTAAGAGTTCCCCAATTCAATTTTTCAACCCAGCCAAACTAGACCATAACTGGACCCCATCAAACCCCAAATCTTCAGATGTGATGCAAACTTGATTCGAAACACAAAAACTTGACACCGGCAAACCAATGGAAACCCTACTGTTTTCGATCGGCAGGGCTTTCCACAAGCAGAGCAGACGAGGTTAAGGACGGCCTCCTTCGACTCCGAGAAATTGGAGTGAGAGGTCAGCTCGGCGTGCTCCTGAGCTTCCTGCACGGACTTCAACAGGGCGCCGCAATCCCCGCACTTCAACGAGACTCCCGCCATTGATCGATCCACCAATCACCACAAGCAGCAGACCTCTAAACTTTATCGGCGATGAACAGTCGCGGCCAGCTCGGCCGGAGGTTGAGAATTTGGGCTCTCAGGTCGGCTGGATTTGGAAGATTTCGGATCGTTGTTTCGTTTAAGTACATAACTCTGTTACTTGTTGGGAGAGGAAACGGTTTAGCAAAAAGTTCGTGATACTCGAAAAAGGACAATTACAAAAAGGAGTTGATAAAAATAGTCCTAAAAATTAGTTACACGTTTGGTCACTCAGATTATACAAATTTTTCACGTATGTCACCCGAATCACTTTTCTTTCTTATTCTCCACCAGCTTTACAAATCATTTCACCATTAGTCACCCATCGTCCAATTCCGATAAAATCATCCTATGTGGCAGTCAACTAAGTCCTTTGACCGTTACCGTTAGTTTGATGATATGGCAATTAAAAAATAATAAAAAATAAATATATTATTTTTTTTCAATTTAAAATTACTTTATATCTTCCTTCCCCTCCCATCACCGTTAGATTCTTATCTTCTTCCCACACTATTTCACAGCACCAATTCTCGGTGATTGCACACAGTTCTTGACATGCCGACGGAATCCGAAGAGTCCCCGCCGGAGAAATCCATCATCATCCTCATCCATTCGTGAACTCATCCTATTTACCACTCATCATTTCACTACTACTTCCGGGCCCATTGCATCAATCGTCATCTCCTCCACCTATAATATTTCTTTTCTCACGCGCTTACCATTCGCCTTCTCCGATCCCGCCACTTGATTGGACTCGAGCTTCTAACAATCTGAATGTGACCAGGAAAGGAGAAATTGAGCTTGGCTCGCAGTCCCCGGAACTCGATCTGTGCCCTATCATAAGCCCGTGCCGCATCCTCTGTGGTGTCAAATGTCCCCAGCCACACCCTCGTATCCCGTCGTGGGTCTCGAACCTCGCGGATAGGAGTTATGTTGCTCCAACACCGGCACCGATGCTGCTAGATTGAATGGGAACTAGAGCAATTCGCGGGCGCGAGCTGAATTGATTGTGTTGGAGACCACGTTCCTAAGTGCGGCGACCATGATGGTGAGCTCTTCCTGCTGGGTGAGGCCAGACGGCGGAGGCGGCTGTGAGAAGTAGTTCGCCGGCATGAACCGTTGACTCTCGGTGTGGGAGAACCCATTCATTGAACTGCAAGCACTCAGTTGAAGCTTCTCGTAGCATAAGTCCCCATAATGATCCACAAAAAAGAAAAAACCAATCCACATCTCGCGCATGACCCTCAATTCTGCTCCCAGGCCACAATCCGAACCCTGGATCTGTTTCTGATCTCCAACCATATCTCGTCGCAATAAGCATCAAAGCAACTGGCCACTCTCAGTTTCTGTCAATTTTGCACAACAGATCTCAAGTCCGCGTAGGTAGAAGAGGATGGAAGATGGAAAGTATTTTTAAATTGAAAAATTAATCTATATTTTTTATTTTTAATTGTCACGTCATCAAACTAACGGTCAAAGGGTTTAGTTGACTGCCTCGTAGGTTGATTTTCACGGAATTGGACGGCGGGTGATTAATGGTGAAACAATTTGTAAAGTTAGTGGCGAATAAGAAAGAAAAGTGATTCGGGTGGCAAACGTGAAAGATTCGTATAATTTGAGTGACCAAACAAACACCACCACCTAAAATCTTTACCTTTCCTTTAGCAAACAAACACCACCTTCACTTAGAAAGCAAAAAACACTCATTCTCTCACACTCTCGAATTCATCATCGACATTTGGAAGCCGAAATCATCGAGCATACGTCCGAACAATGAGTAGCGACTCCCACGAGGTAAAAATCTCGTTTTAAAAAAAAAACTCAAAAAACCTCAAACGAATGTAATTTTCGGTTGGTCCATGGTTCAACCAAAAATCGGATTCGGTTGAACCATTGACCAACCAAAAATCACATTCGGTTATGTCGTGGACGAACCGAAAATCTGCTTCGTTTGGGCCATGGTTGAAACGAAAATTGGTTTCGGTTGATCCACGGTAGAACCGAACCCTTCCTTCGGTTAAGCCATGGTGGAACCGAAAATTGGCTTCTGTTGGTGGATTTTGGGTTTTTTTAGTTTATATCAAATATTTATATTCTTTTGTTATGATTTATAGTTTGGTATATAAGATAGTTTGTTGAATTTTAGTTTATATTATTTTTTAAATTTATGAGCATAATTATTTGTGAAATTGAATGCTTTTATATACAAAATTAAGATTAGATGTATAATACAGTCTCTTAATAAATTTTCATTTATGTCTTCTTTAGAAGTTTTACTTAATCTAGTATCCTAATTTTCTTTCTTTGTTTGTAGGTTTATAAGAAGAACCATGATTACATTGAGGTTCAACATCTTCAAATCCAAAAGCTTATAGAGGATTCTAGATTGAAGAAGATGTTACTAGCGGACGAAAGACCATTTCGGGAGTTGCATACAAACGTCACTCTACAGGCTATAAGGTTGATGGTTAGATGTAGTTGTAGTTATTGTATTTGATGCAACCCTTGATTTACTATTTTAGAAATGCAAAAGAAAAAAAGTCGAATCATCTAAAAATTCCAAAAGTTAGATCATCTCACGGGCAAAGACAAACTAGCAATTCCAAATAAAGGACAAGGATAACAATCTAGAAATGCCACACTCCACTACGGAGTCGCTCCGACTAACTGGTCATACAACTCGTGAACCACACTAATCATATCGTAGTACTAAGATGCATGCTCCACATAGTGATCCTTGTCCCTCACCACCAACACATGACCAAACTTCTCCACAATCTGCTTCCTCAACTGTAAATACAAAAATAATGTCATGAATGAAAAAAACATATGAACAATACATTAAAAATTGAACAATTATGACATCACTAACAAGTAACACTACACCTCCAGGTCTCTAATCTTCATTTCTCGTCCACGCACCAACAATCCCTCTGCGTGTATACCACCATTAAGGAACCACTTCGACTTCCACTTACCACCAACAGGACCATCCACCGGGACCCGAACTAGATCATGCATGTCTAACTTAAGAACATCTGGATACAGATCATCTCTCATCAGCTCCCCCTCAATTGGAATACGAAGAATGTGATGCACGTCATGGAGAAGAATCGACATCTCTCCAAATGGCATGTGGAAGGTGTTCGTGTCCGGCTTCCATCTCTCCACAAATGTCATTATCAAAGCTGTATCTAAATGCTGCATCATACACCCTGCCAAGTGGGACAATCCTGTGCCCTCAACCACCTTCTGAGAACCCTCTGAACTCCACTCATATCTCCTCAGAGACTCCACACTACCAGATCTATGAAAACCATCCAACAACCCACGATCCTGCGCAGGGAAAGTCCACAATGCAAAGGCTATGTGATCTCTAAAGCTAGGGATCACATTGGGAATCACAGGTCCACCTGAACACAGCTGAGACTCCGATGTCAGATGCCACGACATGTCCCCCCTTACTCCCTTCTTCCTCTTCTTACCATCACCGTCTTCCTCACTACTACGTCTCGCAACGTAGCTTCCATCTAGCCCACGCTGTGGAAAGTGCGAAGAAGCAGTAGAAGATGCCCCAACTCGTGTCTTCTTCCCGATGCCTACATCAGATTCAGGTGGGAAATGCCCAACCTCATCAACAGCCACATCATCATCATCGTCGTCGTCGTCCATAGAAACTGAATCACTCCAATTAGCCTCCCACGACGTCGCATCCTCAGGAGTAGGGGTGGAGGTAGTACCTCGACTAAGAGATAACTGCCCCATAGTAGGGCGACTGTCGTCTGTCGGGACGCCCTATTTCCGCCTTCTTCTTCTTCCTCTTAACCTTACGTGGATTTTTTTCTTCATTTTCTTTTCGACCAGTCGCTGTAAGTCTACAAGCACGACCTTCCATTTTTTCTTCCATTCTTTTCTTATTCATGTACGATCCTATTCCATGTCCAGACATCTTAAAAAAAATTGCAATTAATGATAATCAAATGCATTAACATTTTATGATAAATTTCTCTAATTTTTTTCTAATTTTTTGATAATTTATTAACATTATTACAACTTTCTTAGTCATTTTTCTAATTTTGGCTATTTTTAATTTTCCCATTATTTCTAATAATTTGTTAACATTAATTACATATCTACAGATTATATTTCCAAATTTTGATACTTTTTAAAAATTTCAGATAATTTTAATTTTTTACATTATTCACAATATTTTTTATTAATTGAATTCATAAAACTATTCGAGTATAATTTTTATAATTAATTATAAATTGTACAACTTATTTATAATTAACTACAATTTATTTCTAATTATTACTTAATTTAGAATATTTAATAACAATTTTTATTAATTAATTGCATTAAAATTATTTAAAAATCAACCCAACCGAAAATTGACCAAGGTTTGACCATGGCTCAACCGAACATTGAATTCGGTTTGACCATTCTCAACCGAATGTTGACCTCGGTTTGATCGAAGGCCAATCGAACGTTGACCTCGGTTTCACCGAGGGCCAACCGAACGACGGCTTCGGTCGTTGAAGGGAGATGCAAGCGCCAGGCTTACCTTCTCCGGCGAGGACGGACGGTAGGCGACTAGAGGCGTGGCGGGAGGAGGGGCTGACGGCAACGGCGAGTGGAGGCTCGAGTGGAGGCGCGCAGACGTCGACTGCTGGCGCGGACGGCGACGACGAGTGTGGACTGACGACGACTAGAGGCGCGGCTGACGGGGACTGGAGGCGTGGCTCACGACCACTGGAGGCTCGGCCGGAGTGGCAGCGTGGGGTGGCGGGTCGAACGCCGTCGTGGCGGCGTGGGTGCTGCGCGACGGCGTCTCTGCTGTTGGATTTGAATTTTGAATTTGAATTTTAAAAAGGGGGGTTTGTTTGTGTTAGGGTTTGATTTTGAATTTTAAAAAGGGTAATTTAGTAATTTACATATTAAGTTAGGACGACGGTTAGTAATTTCTAGGACGACCTTTAACCCTTCAGATTAGGGTTGGGAAAATAAACCAGACCGTTAGAAAAACTGTGGTCCAAACCGTACCGCACAGTTTGGTCCGGACCGTAGACCGTTAAGTATGGTATGGTCTGGTCCATGGTCTGTATTATTTTATGTTTTGATCTCTTGGTCTGGTCTGGTCTAGACCGCGGTTTACCGGACCAAACCGTGGACCCAACTGACTTGTCAATACGTGTTAACAGCTCATTCGACCACTCTCCCAACTCCCACAACGACACCCAAGTCTCAACCTTAGTTTTGTGAATCTCGTCCCTCCTTCATTCACAACCACATTTAACCAGAGAGTAGAGATAATCGTGTCTCCATATGACATTATGTTAATGCTTATGACGTTATGGTGCAAGTTGGGATGATTTTACTTTGCTTTGTTATGTACTAAGATTTAGAGTATCAAAATTATTCATGCATGTTAGGATTAATGATTTAAGGCAAATAACAATTATTTTTCCTGGTTATTGGTTCAATTTTTTGTGTGGTTGATTAGACAAATTATTTGTTTATCATTGAGTGTGGTCTATTTGGACCAGACCAGACCGAACCAGACCGCACATGCGTGGTCTGGACCGGACCGTATAGTCTGTGGTCTATACTTTAGTCTCTCAGTCTGGATCATAGACCGTATATATGGTCTGGTCTACCAGACCGCACCGTTTCCCAGCCCTACTTCAGATTCTCACCAAAAAGATAAAAGGATAACAAATTTATTACCGGGCTCAGTAAGCTCAAGTGATCGGCCCATCTTAGACGGCCTGCTGGGATCTACGGGCCTTCATGTGGATCTATCTGAATCTGACTGCAGGCAGCGGTTTCGTTTTGCACTTTGCAGTTTGCACAGTGCAAGCACCATCTTGCCATTTTCGTCATCGATCTGAAGACTCTCTGAAGATTCTGAACAAAGAAAAAGAGAAAAGGAGGCCACTTTTACTTTCCTATTCTCTGTTTGTTTGTCGAGAAACTGTTTCGAATCGTAACGAGAAAATCAGAGCTTCCTCAAACCCTAACTTGTGAATTCGTTGAGGAGGAGCGAGCTCGGCTCGATGATCACGGATCGTTGAAGATCGCGCGCTATGATGAGGTCAGGCTATGACCTCTTCTTGAACGCGAGAATCACATTTTTTGTTCGAGTTATTGATGGAACGCGGCCACAGTCCCTCTTCAGAGCCAAGAACGACAGCGACGAAGGAGAAAAAAAGCAGCAGCGAATTGGTGAGTGCGAAATTGATCGAATGGGAGGATTACGAGCAGGAAGTCGCGCGATTGTGGAGCCTTTCCTCTGCTCTTAAGGAAGCTAGAGAGAAGAAGGAAGGTCTGGAGGGGAAGCTTCATTCGCTCAATCAGGTAGGACCGTTGCGATAGCTAGTAATGGTGAAGTATTTACTCTCTGCATTTTGCTTTCTAGAAGCATAAATGATGTTTCAGCTTTGTTGTCTTAATTATCTTGAGAGGACCATTTAGTGCACTCTTAGGTTGTCAGCAAATCTGGTAAAGAATTACCAGTTGGTATTATGTTACCCCATTGTGCCATTTTCTTGGGCATTAATTGATTAGCCCGCGGATTAGCGGGCGGCAACATGGTCGGCAGGTTGAAGCTGAGTCATTAAGTCGATTGAATGTGCTTGAAGAGATAAGGGAGAGGGTTGGCGCTAGGAAAAAGATGATGGAGAGCTTGTCAGACCGCTTGCAGGGTGCAGAAGAGAAAGCTAAGAAGGAAGAACAAAGACTTGGTGCAGAAGTTAGATCGCTTTTGGTAGCAGGAACTGCTCTTTCTGTGGCTAACAAGCAACTGGAGGTAAGTTGTGAGGTTTTGCTGCTACTGTGCTTTTCAGAAAAATTAGTTGATTAACATTTCATATATGTTTTGAGTTAGCAAGTGCCAGTAATTGTTTGCATAGGATGTTGGTCCTATAAATCTGGGTACCCCAGTTTATCCTGCAATCAAATAGTCGGGATAATAGAAAGCATGCTAGAGAGTCGAAGAACAGTTTGTTCTTGTGAAGATTGACAATAAGTTTTGACTTATTGTCCTTGCAAGGATCAGGTGATATTATCGGCTTCCCAGTGATATATATCCTATAGAAATGCTGGCAGTTCTTTCAATTTGTAACTACAAGCTTGCTGATAGGTGGGTGCTGACATCTACTAAAGGAAAATGATAGGGAGTAATCACATGTATTTAGTCTGGAAAGTTGTTTTCTACGAAAGGAAAATGTTAATGATACTTTGAAAAGCCTAACAGCAGGAGTTTATAAGTTTCCGTTTGTAGTAACTACTCTGCTTCTCTACCGAAATACGTGTTCGTAGCATAAGATTGAATTTATTTCCTCTCCCTTTCCCTCCATTACATCACGCCCTTTGAGTTGTGTGGATTACCACGATGGTTAAATCAACTGGTTCTTGTCCACTGAATGAAAATGATAGATGGGTGCTGACATCTGCTGAATGAAAATGATAAGGAGTACTCAGATGTATTTAGTCTGGAAGTTCAAGACTTCAAGTTATGTGAAACGTTTTCTACGAAAACAAATGTCAATGATACTTTGAAAAGCCCAACAGCTGGAGTTATTAAATTTCCGTTTGTAAGAACTACTCTGCTTCTCTACCGAAATACGTGTCTATAGCATAAGATTGAATTTGTTTCTTCTCCTTTGCCGTCCATTCCATCAAGCTCTTTGAGTCATTTGGATTACCATGATGGTGAAAGCAAATGGTTCTTGTCCACATAACGTTGGTACCTAATCTAACGGTATGAGTGTATAATCATGAGATGGCTAGAGGACGCATCCTTTGTTTCAGTCAATTATACGAACAACTTGCTCTGCATTGGAGATGTTGTTATAATAGGTCAGAAGCAAAATGAGTTATATCTTTGGATTTGAAAATGATTTTAATTCAGAAGAGATGTTACATGGTTGTATGCTCGTAACCTCGGTAGAAGACTAATTGCACCATGTTAGTAAGTTATATACGTAGGCAATCCATACCACTATTTTTCCGTTCACGAAATCTTATTTCTAAGGAGTTGACTTATTCAGCACACTTGCTAATCCATCTTGAATAACTTTGTTTGTACTACGAATGAACATCAATATGAAGATGTGTCTGCACTCTGCACACATGATAGCTTCTGTAGATCAATATGAAGATGCTTCTTTTTCCTTTTTCCTTTCGCCTGATTCTTGTTAGTTTCAAGAGCATATGATAGCTTGTGTACCAGAAATAAGCCATACTTTTTACTACAGGAATCAAATAGGTTACTTGCTGGAGAAAGTGGATTTCTTCGTCACAGAAACTTGCAGAAGATGCTTAGGTTGAGGCAACAGTTTATGATATCACAGGTGTCATTGCTTTATTCTGTAAAGATGTCACCTGGACGTTCGCAGGATCAAGAACTTGAATCACTGCCTAGCACTAGTAAATCAGGTAATGAGATGAGGAATTCTAATAAACCTTTACCTCTAGCCAAAATGGATGATGTATCATCGGAATTCATTGCCGATTTTGCTTGGCCCTGTATCAACTTAGGTGTTCGCCACTTTATCTGTTCTTTAAGCAATGCCTTTTTTGTGTTTCAAGTTTGTTGTGGAAAGCCTGCTAATCTAATGGTGACTTTACCTGTGGCCACCCCTTCCCTCTTATGTCCTTTTCTTCCTCTTATTTTGTCGAATCAGCCGCTGTACAGGATTGCTGCAATATTTTGTCATGAAAGACCTGGATGACTCTTATTACAATCTTGATTACAGTTTCCTTCTGATGCCTCGAACCGTGATTTGATTCTTACTCTAATTCAAGATAGATACACCAAACGGTGGAAAAGAATAGTAAAAAACGTAGCTTCTGGATGTGTATTGATCACTGGTTCTTAGTTTGCTTGGTTAATGCATGTCTTAGCTGTGAAGCTTGACCATGACTTGTGTCTTAATTATTTACCTTCACCATCCTTTTTCTCAGGGAGCTATGCTGGATCTAAACTTGTAAACCCAGGATCCTTGACCATTTTAGGTCTGCATCTGACTATGCTTCCTTTCACAAAGATGAGCTTTTTCTCCAATAAGAAGGAGGTCCAGAGGTCTGCAACAGCCCTAGGATATGTTGCTCATGTGTGTTCTATCTCTCTGCTCAACTTACTGCTACGCCAATTTGTCCTTGATGTTTTCGTTTTCTATGATATGTCTTCGACATTTACTTTTATCTATAGTTGATATTAATCTTAACCGAATCATATTAAAATTGATACATGAAAGATAGCCCGTAAACATTTTTCTAGAAGTTAATGGTCTAATGAAGGAATTACTTTGGCTGGGCATGTTTCTGCAGACCACAAACTACTTTTGGAAAGCCATGGTCTTAGTTATTTCTTCTGGAAAAAATCACGTACTTTTTGTTGATTAGGCCGTTATCCAGAAGGTTTCTTTATTGCTTTGGGTTTTTATGCAGGCTGTGTCACTTATATCCTCATACTTAAAAGTTCCCATCCGTTACCCTGTGCGCTTGGGTGGTTCTCATTCTTATATCATTGATCCTTCACCTTCAATAGAGCCCGTATCATCATCAATGGGGTCGTCAAGTACAACATCTCAATCCAATGTGAAGCCTGTTGAATTCCCCCTTTTTCTAGATGGTCAAGATACAACACGAGCAGCTTATGCTGTATTCCTATTGAACAAGGTTAGTCACTCGTTTGCAGTCTTGGGTTTCCTGTGTTTCTGGTGAAGCCCCTTGTTCTTTTTTCTTGAAATGGGAAACCCTTTAATTCGCGTGAACTTCTGAGCGCCATTGTTAATCCTTAGTTTTAGTTATATTTTTTAAACATTTTGTTTGCTTGCTTTGAAAGGATGGAATGACAAGTCTTATTATTATCAAATGATCAAGCTTGAAATTGACAATGAATTCCTGACGTGCTTTCATCAGTGAGGCATAGCACATCAGTGAGGCACTAATGCCGTGCCAACATGTTTCTGTGTTTCTTTCTAAAGCTGGTCTCTTGGTCCTCAATGCTACTACGCATGTCTTGATGATGTTTGTAGGATTTGGAGCAGCTCTTGAATTACATTGGTGTCAAAAGTTTAGGGCCACGCCATGTATTGGCTAATTTGAAGGAGCTTGTGAGGACAGTGCAATCTGCGGAGTTTTTAGAATCGTGATTCACAGGAACCTTGCGTAAAAAGTTTGCAATTCGTCTCTGTAAAGTGTACTTGTATTCTTACACAGGTGCAATGTTTTGGTTTTCCAGTTTCTAATTGGAGCACCTACCTCCATAGCCCATAGGAATTTCAACTTCAATGTCTTTTACTCTTTTGGTTCCTTAGGTAGGAGCCCGTTTTTGACTCGTTAATAGGAAATGAAAGTGTGGGATGTTTGATTTGTCTTCTTCAGTTCACTGTTTAATCTATCGTTAACTTTACCAACGAACTTATAGTCTAATGCTTTGTGTATCTTTTAGCTATTTTGCGAATGTTGCTTAAAAATTCTTGTTACTTTTGTGTATCTATTTCAGAATATTCATGGCAAAAGAAAACGAATGGTATTACAGTCGACTTTTCTTTTTTCCTTGTTTCTGAGAAGATTGTTTTGAGAAATGCAACATATGTGTAGTTTGCTCTTCAATTGCCTTTCTCCTTTTCCATTGACATAGCCGATCACTATTCTGTTTCTTGCCCATCTCCGACGGTGATCATCTCGTGGCCATTGGGTAGACCTCCTGCTTCTCGCTGGCGATTTCCACCTCCCCTATCTTCTGATGCAGTCGTCTCCTCACCATATGCAGCAGCTTCTCCGGCTCTGCTTCAATCATCTCTACCATTTCCCGCCCTCTATCACTGTACATCGCTTCCACGCATCTCAGGAAATGGATGCGACCCTTTCCTCCACGAATCTCTCCGTCTTCACGATCATCCTCGTTGGTTCCATTCATTCTTTCGTCGATGTAACAAGCAGCGGACAGGAGGCACTCCTTCAGCTCGTCCACATCTTCCTCCACCACCTGAGCATTGTCCAGCCGCCGCCTATTGAAGTCTGGTTTCTGAACTGTCTGTGGATGCTGGGGCATGGCAGCTTTGAATTTCTCCTTCTCCGGGGTGGTAACAGAAATCCTCCTCATCCTGCTGCTGCATTTCTGTTCTGATTCATCGGGTCTCTTCCTCTTCTCCATTTCTGGCCTCGGAACCCTGCTGCATTCTTTAGTGACGTCAGGGACCGATCTTGGCTTGTCGAAACTTAATCGATACAGGTTAGGCAGGACCTGCTGGTAAATCTCTGAAGATGATGATGCTTTCCTCTGGCTTCTCTGAATCCAACCCAGACATCGGCTCTTTTCACTGGTGAATTTCTCCTTCACCTTTTCATCTACTTCTGAAACAACTGGAGCTGCTTTTCTGGTCTCATCGTTATTCTCCTTCCTATTACAAGTTCCTTCTTCTCTGCGAGCTAAGCCGCCTGCACATGGAAACAGAGGAGTCGCAGACTCTGGCGGCTCTGCTCCTGCAACCGCCGGCAGAAATCTGTGCAGGATATCCTCCGTGTTACGCACTCTGGAAACTTGGTCAAAAAGCTTGTCTACCCCACTAGCCGGCTGAGTTCCTTGGCAGGCACTCAACGTCTTGATCCCGGCGGAATCCTCCATGGCCGCCGCCGCTGCTGCAGAAGGCAGCTCTCGCGGCTGCGCCTTCTCCTCCATAGCAGGCCTAACTGCCATAGCCTCCGCCGCTGCGGGTTTTATGACAGAAACCATCGGATTGACCGGAAGATAAGAATTGAACTTTTCAATCAAATCCTCTTGCCCCTCGAGGATTTTCCTGACAATCCAGAGCAGATCTTCAGGTCGGAGCGGCGGCAGGTCGTGGCCGCCGTCTATCAATCTGATGGGCGAACCGGTGAGATTCTCCAAAACTCTGCAGAAGGTCCGGTAGTTTCCAGGTTTCCCGTGCAACCGAGCCCTGACGTCGTCGAGGAAGTCCATCGCTTGCCCTAATCGCTCCTCTGTGATGGCTTGCGGTGGAAGTAACTCCCTCAGACGCCTGCAACCGTCGCTGTAAACTCCGATTCTCTCCATCTCTCTCTTTCCTTCTTTCAGCTCCACAACTCGACGCAGGAAAAAGGAAGTAGAATCAGTCAGTCGACCGGCGTCCGGCAGTCCTAATATTGCAGAGAAGAGCAGGGATTTACCGTGGCCGGTTAGGATTAGGAAACCTCCAAGAACTGAGAAGGGTAGTGAAGGGAAGAGAGGAGTGCAGAGTTTGGGCCAGGACCAATCCATCGACAACTAAGCCCAGACGGTAAGTGGAAAATGGATATTTAGTTATTTACGCTTTTGTCCTTTTCGTGTTCTCGTTTTTTCCGTGATCCGCTTTCAGATTATTGGTTGGTTACCTTACCAATACAATCTCTCACCGCCGCACTTTCCTTAATTCAAACGGGAAGGGGATTCCGTTCCGTGGAAAACAAGGCGGAGCTCTGCCCTCTCCGCCCACTCCACCTAACCACTATATATACAGATAAATCGACTCGCTCCAGGGCGATGAATAAAAAACGGAGGATACTGCAGTTGCGCGCCGCCGACAGTTTCGGAGAAGACAACTCGGAGCGGAAGAAGAAGAAGCAGCAACAGTGTACAGCGGCGATGGTGTCAATGGAATTAAAGCTGGAGAGCAAAATCAAGGAGCGATTGGCGAAGGACGAGGCAGCGTACGGGGCTTTTGTGGAGCAGTGGAGGCTGTACAAGGGAGGGAAGATGAGCAAGCACGACCTCTGCTGCGAGATCATCAGTCTCTTCTCCGACGAGATCCATGACCTTGTCCCCGACCTCCGTCACTTCTTCAAAGACTCTTCACCCGCCGTCGCTTGATCGTTACAAAATGTCTTCCCCTCGCTTTCTGTGAGATTGTTCTTCTCCGGTAGCGGAATTAGGTGAAATTTCGATTCCATTGTCCCTTCTTTTTTTAATCGCCTTTTGTTTCGTGTGGATTTGGTTAGGGTAGGCGTGAATAATTGTTGAGGTTTATGGATATTGGATTGGGAATGAGAAGCACTTACTAAAAATTAGGGTTTTGCCACTGTGATTTGGGTTTACTCCAAGTATTTGTGGCTAATCTAATCCAAATGCATTTTGGATCATTGATCAATGAAAATATGGATTATTTCATTCAACAAACGAAGGAATGGTCGTCGAATCAATGAGTGAGATTGGTATCCCTAGATGCCATTAGATAGCATTTTACCCTCTCTATATACTATCATAATTGGGACCAGCGATGAGAAAAATTGTATCGCTAAATGCCGTTCTCTTATACGCATGCATAAGCAATATGGCTTACGATAATTATATATGTGAAAATAAGCTATATCACTGTCATGCTTGGAATTGGAAAAAACCTTTACATTTTGCCCTCTCCCTAATTTTGGCCATAATCAAGGACAAGGTAGGGTGATGACCTATGTTCCTCAACCAAACTTCTGTCTCTAGGCTATTGTCTTGACAGGTGTAGTTGGAGGAGGCCCTAAATCATACGACGACGAGGTGGGTTGAATTCTTTCATCATCCGAGCAAAAAATCTGGTCTGCCAATTGTCGTCTCTCACAAAGCAAACAAGCCTAAAGAAGAACATGACTTGTAATTACATTTACAAAACAGTGAAAAAAAATTTACAGCCTTTTATTTTAGACCCCCCAAAGTTGAAATGACAATTTACAAAACAAAACTTATCTACATATACAAAACCATTCACTAAGAAACATAGTTGGAAAACTCATATCTCCACCCTCGTTTTCATTTGCTAGCTGAAGCTCAAGCTGGCAACTCTAGCTTTACATTTTTCCTCCAGCTGCCCAAACACACAAAATCGCAAGGTCACAAAACAGTTATGAATTTGATCCCATAATAATTAATAAACAGTAACATTAATTGTGCCATTAGTTTAACATCATCTAGCTACCTCTCTTACCTCTGAATGTAATAGTAAAAGAAATCAGCATAGAGGAGGGTCTGAATTACTCCTGATACCCATGCTGCAATCAAAGTAATTTTTTTTTTCAAAAAAGAAGAAGAAGGAATTAGTTTTAATGTGGTGGTTTTAGAAGACTTGATGATTTTTCCAAAGGTGATTGGTGACCTACTTATCCAATGGATAGACCGTTGTTCAGATAAGTAGCGATAAATCCAGTTTAATATGTACAATGCTCTATATGACCTGCATTACAATCAAATGTCATAATGAAATATATAAATTATTATGTAAATTGAAACAAGAAAACAGGAGAAAGGATTAATTATTACTAATTATTTATAATTACATACCCTAGTAAGAAAATATATTGTCCTGTTAAGTTATCTATATTTCTAGTCCTCTGCAGCAACACAAGCTGGGGAAGTATTGCAACAGCTTCCAAGTACAACGAGAATGTCCACATTACCTGCAAAATACCATAAAAATAAACAACCGGATTTGGAAAATTGAAAGCAACCATATGCTCCAAAAAGTATATTTAAATTGTAATATGTGGATGATGAATACATAGATGGAATGCAGTGCATGCATTTGAAACAAGTGGAATCGGTTGATCGTCATGATCAGAATAAGAATGAAACAGTTTTTAAATATATGATGACTTCCATTGGAAGCACTCATACCTCCTTGAACGTAAGCTTCTCGTGCACAAAGACAGCTAAAGCAAAGGAGATGAGAATGAGGAAATAGCACGGAAAGGTATCCTGGTCCTTGTCGTACGACCTTCGAACCAATTTGTGGTGTCTGATGTACCAAATGATGGAGAAAGCGCTTCCTAGATATATTAATTTCATGATTGTATTGTACAACGAGATAAAATGAGTAAATAGATCCAAATAACGTGTAACGAACACCAGAAAGTAAAGCTCCTGAGTCTTCAGAGAAACTCCTACATCCATAAAATTTTATAGTTATGACAAATATACAATGTATCTACGTATTATCATAAAATACAAGACATTTTTTGGGATGAAGATAGATGAACAATGGTTCATAATGGAATCTGATAAAAAAGGGGGAAACATTCATTACACGAAAAATACAAACTATATGAATAGAAAAAAGAAGAAGAAAAGAAGATATACCTGCACAAGATTTGATGGTGTGAATCTTGAGAAGAAGAACAAGGATACTAGCTAAATGTGTCATGTCTCCTGCAAGCCTGAATATATTCATTTTGTTGTTTCTTACTTTTATCTTTTGTTATATTTTTGTATTAGTTCTGTCTATTGTGCAGTGTGTTTGGGATCAACCGGAATTTTTTTTTTTTTACTTTTTCCGGTAGAGTTATGGGATCGAAATTCAAAGAGAAGTAATGTTCTCTCGATCCCACAATTGACCCAACACAACACGAGTGAGTCTTTTTTTATTTGATTTTCTTCTTCCCCTAATTCTCTCTCCCTTATTCAATGTTTCGGATATTTGTTTCTATTCCTCGTATTTTATACTTATGTCTTTTGTTTCTCGCCCACGATTCGCGGGGCATCCCAGAATTGTTTGTTTGGGGTTTTCTTTTGAGTCTTCTTTGTTATTTTCTATTTTGTCCAATGGTAGAAAGAAAAAGAAACTAAGTTTGGTTTTTTTTTTTTTTGATGGGAAAGTTTGGTTATTTTGGGTACACGAGAGACTTTTGGCTCATGCATTCAATTATCAACCAAATTGTATTTATTGACAAGCTTTTGGATTGAGTCCATATTTATCGATAAGAATTTTTTGCTCGAGTCTATATATTGTACTTGTAACCATTCAGTCAGATTACTGATTATGGAATAACATGAACCCTAGTATTTCTTCGTTCTATCCTCATTTTCTCTCTACTCTCTCAATAATATCTAAGTTCTTTCTATACTTAATAAGATTAGTGACTTGCAGATAATATGAATGAAATAATGTTACTTTGTAGTGGAAGATTGTCGATATTGATTTGGAACAAATTAAGAGAATCAAGGATAATTGACTATCAAAGTAAGTGAAAATGTAGAGAAAAGACGATCTTTTAGCGGTATTCAGTCGTGGTGCACTGCTTTACTTTCCCTCTCAAGGGAGACTTTGCCTTGAGATATACGTTTTAGGTTGATCTTATTATAATCTAACCATAACTCTTTGACTGAGAATCAAACCCTTATTAATGACGAAGAATCTACATCTTATAACCTCTCTTCTATCTAGCTCAAACTCAACTCACACAAATTAGAAGAGAACCCAAGAACCAAATTCTCAATCAATCTCACAAAGCACTCTTTGCTTTCTCAGGATGACAACCTAGAGATGTTTGTTCTCTTAACAAAGGGGGGTCACCGGGATCCGAACACTAGACCTCTCGGTTACGAAAGACTCTAATACCATGTCACGAACCATTCGATCCTAATAATTCGAGTTATTGGGAGATGTTCAATAATGAATCTTATACCACAAACTAACACGTCCCCCCAAATGAAAGATATATAATATGAATGAAATAATGTTATTTTGTAGTTGAAGATTGTATGATCTTTTGATTTGGAGTAAATTAAGAGAATCAAGGATAATTGACTATCAAAGTAAGTGCAAAATGTAGAGAAAACACGATATTTGTTAGTGGGGTTCAGTCGTGGTGCACTACTTTACTTACCCTCTCAAGGGAGACTTTGCCTTGAGATATACGTTTCAGGTAGGGGTGGAGCTTTGATTAGTTCGGTTATAATCGGTAATCGACCGGTCGATTATCGACTAACTGGACAAGACAACCAGTAGCCCCTACCGAACATCGACCGACAAAGTACCTCGGTCAACCGACCGGTCGGTTACAGGTTAGTTGTTTGGTTAACCGAGGTAACCGAAGTAATACATTCGGTTCGGTTTCAACCGGTTAACCAAACTGTTGGAGCCACGTTACAGTTGCTTATCTCATGTGCCTCCCACGCTTGAGCTTCCAACGATAAGGCGCTTAGGCTTTGTGCGAGGAGCGTGTAGTGGGTCCTGATGCGCCTCCCTCGTCCAAGTTCCCTACCAAGAAGCGCTTGCCTCTGCACAAAGGGCCAACTGCGAACCCTCGGGGTTTGTTACTCCAACGATCAAGTCAGCACTTCGAAGGTAGAGAGAGAAGTAAAATCAAGGTTTTAGTGAGAGAACCCGATTTGAGTAAAATGAGGTTCACCTATTATCCTATTTATACTAGGAGCCTCGCCGACCGTTGCCCCCCAAATCCGCCCTACGTCATCATCGCAATAAATGAGATGTACCTTTTTCTCCCATGACCCTCGACCAGCTGACACCTACTTCAGATATCTGAGGCGCATGACCTCATGAGCTATGCCCGCCGTACTGTACCGACCGTTGGGCCTCTTTTTCTCTATGCGCTTTGTGTCAGGAATCGGGCCCCACCTTGCAAATCATCTGCCACTGTTGGACTCGCATTTTGTGCCTCTACTAGCCTTTCTAGGCCCTTTTCCCTCTCGGTCTCATTTGCGCTCCCCCAACAATTGCCTCCCAGTTAGGCACCTAATCTCCTCCGATTAGAGGCCTAACTAGTGAACAAAGTTGACGTGTGTTGTGGGATCATCTTCTCTTAAAATGCTTCACGCCTTGTCCTTTCTAGACTTGCTTTCACGAGTATCAACTCTCAAATTCAGCCGCTAGGCGCCTCTTTTTTCCTTCTTTCGATGATGGACGCCTCATTTCCTGACACGGGCGCCCCACCACCGTTTTCCAGCTCCGAAAGCATGCGCCTTCTCCCTTATTCCAGGCGCTTCCGATTTTTTTTCCCCCGGAATTGGGCGCCCACTTCCCGCCCCTTGAGTTTCCATTTTTACTTCCCCCGTAATTCGTCTCTTTGACCGAGGCGCCCACCATACGCCTCCTAGTTCCTGTAAACTGAGCGCCTCTTCCCCGGCCCGAGTGCCCCTTATTATGCTTTGGTTTTTAAAACTGTGCACCTTGACTTTTGGGGTTTCTACATTTATTCCTGACGCGGTAATCATTGAATTTTTCCCATTGGAATTCCGCCTCGATTGTCGTGCTCTCTCACTCCTTCCCCTCTATCCGGTTTGATTTTCGGATTTCAAATTCTGAATTCAATCCGGAGCGATCATCGGTTGGTCGCCCATCTTCTCTCTCCTACCCCCTCTCTATATATTCTTACCCTTCCCTCCTTTCTATCCATACTTCCTCATTTGGACAAAAAACTTCCTCTCTCTACTTTATCTCTCTAGATTGCTCTTTGATTCCGCCTCCCGATCACACCGCTACGCCAACGAGTTTCTCCCTCGCCAAGTCCACGTGCCTCCTTCCAATGGCTTCCTCTTCTCCCCCATCACCTTCCGTTGCTGCTCCCGAAGGCGCCGCTGCTGTCACCGAAGCGCCCCTTCATCCTCCCATGCGCCTCAAAGCGCCGCTCCCCTAGGTAATGCATCTTGACCACCTCGCCCTTTTTGTGTGCTTCTCGCCCTAGGATCTCTGAAAATGGGTGTTTGGGATTTGCGGGGCGCCTTGTTAGATCTTCTCTTCCTCTCCTTGACTCGGGCGTGCGCTTCTTGCCTTCTTCTGACGCAGGCCCTCCCGTGCCTCAAGAGTATCGATTCCATCCCTGGGAGGATATATGGCCCCCGGGGTACCTGCCCACCGGGATTGGGCGCATGGTTGATTCTAAGGCGGGTCCGAAACACACCTCAAAGTAGTTGCGCGTTCGGATGGAGAAGGTGATTTGGCTGCGCAAATGCCGCCTCTTTGGAGGTATGCTCATGCGCCTCCTGTCGCTCGTATTGGCGTGGTGGACAAGAAGTGGCTTGGGATATATCAGGAATTCCTTCTTTTTGGCCTGAGGTTTCCTATCGACCCGATTCTCGAAGGCGTGCTTCGCCTATGCGAGTGCCCCATTGGGCGCCTTTCACCTACCGTCATTCTATATACCGTGGTTTTTTTGGCACAAGTGTCGCTTGCTTGCTATCCCACCCACCATCAAGCTCTTTCAACATTTCTTCCTTATGATGAAAACCAAGAACTGCTTGAGCCTGCAAAGGCGCACAAACCAAGGTTACCATTTTCTGCGGTCCAAGCAAAAACTTGGGCGCACTTGGTTTGATCCTTTCTTTTTTGTGAGCCCCCGCGAGATGCCTTTCTTTGAGAGTCAACTTCCGCCCATGACTCATTGGTCATTAGGCACAGAAAAACGCTTTAACAAGGCGGCGCCCCTCACAAGGATTGAGCAGGACATGGCTCGCGCCCTCTCCGTCGATCCCTATGATCTCGAAGTGACGAACACTTATACAGACTTAAGCTCTGTGTTCCGCTTGATTCGATCACGGATTCAGGCGCGCCCCTCTCTTGCGGTTCCGCGTGCCCCTAAGTCTGCTCTAACTAAGGGGAAGGCTTCTGCCAACTCTAAGGGCCGGACCGCGAAGGCGCCCCAACCCACTACCTCCAGCGCCTCCTCTGGACCCATCTGCTTCCTCCCTTGGGTGTTGCAGATGAGGCACCATCGGCTTCTCATTCAGAGCCTCAAGTGCCCCGCTCTGCGTCATCAACCTCTGCCTCCAGTGGACGCGCCCGGTCAAAGGCGCCTGCTAGCTCTTCCGAGACCCCCACGAAGAGGGGTGGGGGATGTCCTTGTGCAGGCTACTAAGAAGGCCAAGGTAGCTGAGCTAGTGGCTACGAGGATTCCTCCGAGTTTGGTGACGCCCGCTGTTGGGGAGCATACAGGTCAATTGCTGTCGCCCTACATCCAGATACCTAGGCGCCCCCTGATTAAAGTGTCCGTCCGTCTTGGCGGCTAAGGACTTAGGCGCCTCCATGCAGACAGCGAGAAGTCATTTCAGCGTGATTGAGCGCCCTTCAAACTTGGTGTCGTCGAAGCCATTGCGCAACATGGCGAATCTCAGCATTCAGGTATGGTGCAACCCTTCATGCTTCCTTCATTTTTGAGAGGCACTCTTCTTGATTAGCTAACGTGCTTTTGCACTTCAACAGATGACTTTGTTGGCAGAGGCAACTGCCCAGGAATTTTCTCACCTTGTCGATGAACATCGGGAGGAGTCCAGCTTGACTGCGCGCCTTCATGTCGACCTCGACGCTGCTAGGCAACAGCAGATGGACTTGGCTCTTGCATGTCGCGGAGCGCAGGTCGAGGCCAAGGCGTGTGCCTACAAGCTGAAGGCCGAAGTAGCTGCCGAGCGCGCCAAGGTCGAGAAGGAGTGCCAAGAGGAGCTCCAGGGCCAAGCAGAGGCGGAGAAGGAATTGCGTGAGGAGAAGGAGAACTTAGAGAAGCAATTTCTCGATCATCAGGAAGAATGCAAACAATTGAAAAAGAGCAAGGCGCACTACAAGATGGAGCTGAAGGATGCTCGAGGCGCGCGAGATCAGCTGAGCGAGGACTTGGCGAACTATAAGGACTCAGACGTTGGATACAGTGAGGATCCTGCAGTACAAGTTCTACAA